TGCATTGACTCAAGTAACCCAACTTTTCATATGACTTTCTAGCACAATATCCTCAAACTTCAGTTTTCTGTTGCTGATCCTACTGCCATCTTTGGAAATGTGTGTGGCTAGCTATTATTCTTGTTCTGAATTCTTTGGCAGTGAATGTCTTCGTGGGGGTGTATCGATGACATTGTTTTTTTCTTTTTTACTTGAACTTTTATTTTATTTTATTTTATTTTATTTTTTGAGGTGGAAACTTACTCTGCTACCCAGGCTGAAGCGCAGTGGTACTATCTCAACTCACCCCAACCTCCGCCTTCTGGATTCAAGCGATTCTTCTGCCTCAGCCTCCCAAGTAGCTGGGATTACAGGCATCTGCCACCACACCCAGCTGATGTTTGTATTTTTAGTAGAGACAGGGTTTCACCATGTTGGCCAGGCTGGTCTCGAACTCCTGACCTCAAGTGATCTGCCCTCCTCAGTCTCCCAAAGTGCTGGGATTGCAGGCGTGAACCACCACGCCCAGTCTTGAACTTTTAAAAAGATTTGTCAGTCATATGTTAAACATTTTAGAGGACTCTTCTGTTTTCTTCCTGCTTTATCTCCAATTCATACTACCACCCCAGTGTCTACCTTTAAGGAAAAACCTTTCCATATTGTAAGCCTGAAAGGGTCATTTGTAATAAACGTAACCAGTTTTGTTCACAGATACATAATGTTCCTCTTTAAGATGACTAGAGATCAGATTTGCCAAAATTTCCTCTCTGATTTCTATCAAGGTCATCCTAGGTATGTCTCAACTGTTTCATCTTCCTTCCTAGATAGCCTAACCCATAGTGTATACTTTTCCTGTGATCCACCACTTACTTGTTTCTCTTTATTTGGACTCAGATCGGGTGAAAGTATTACTTTCAACTTGAGTCCCCACATTTCCCCAAGAAGAACTGGGGGGAGGGTGAAGGTGATCCTGAAAAGGGCCCTGTAGTGTCTCCCAAGTTTTCCTCTTTGCCCGGGTTCCTCCTAGTGTCTCTGTCATCTTTCTTCAGAGTCCCAGTCACTCATGGTCTTAAATTTCATGTCAGATCTGTAGTAGGAATAAAGTATCTGCTTAGATGCCTGTGGAACTGTGGATGAAATTGGCCAAGTCAAAGGAAACGTAAACAAATTCTGGAAAGTTTTCCAACTAAGACTGGTGGGAAGTTTCGTTTGCTGTTTTCATTTGCCAGGAAATAGGAAAGTCAGGACCCAGTCCCAAAGCGCGCTTCCTGGAATCCTTTTTTATGAAGAGTCCCCCAAACCTGTGTAGTAACGCAAAGGATTTTCATCTGTTTTTCCTTCCAGGCACTTCAGGTGGCAAGACAGCTCCTCCTTCAGCAGCAACAGCAGCAGCAAGTTAGTGGATTAAAATCTCCCAAGAGGAATGACAAACAACCAGCTCTTCAGGTAACAATTCTTTTTCTTTTTAAATTGACATTCTACCCTTTGGGATAACTGATAAGCAGTTCAGGAGTGGATTGTGTTGAGCATTGCAAATCATGTAAGAAAATCTTCTGTGGAAAGTGCATTTTTGGTTTACTAGCAGGGTATAACATTTGGGGAAAATGTGTATTTGACCAAAAGTTTTATTGTCAGGCGTAAGATCTCCTGATTGGTGAATATAATAGAAGGATAAGGAGTTGCAAGTGTTGAGTTGCTAATAGGCAGTGTAGGTTACCAGTGAGAAAAGTTCATAGTACTCAGAATTGTCACCACATTCTCTTATGTTGCGTCTGGAAATGGGATAAACACACACAGACACACACTTACTTTAGTGTAGTCATCCTCAATAGGGATGAT